GTGCAGGCTACAGAAAAAAATTAAGAACCACTGGCTGAACGCATCAATAGAATATGGCCAACATTGATTTAAAAATACGTGAACATAATCCGGCCGATACATTTCAAGGCAAATTTCCTAGTAGAGTTGAATAAACAACGTGGCTTTTTCTAATTAAAAAACGTATCCGTGTAAATTGAGTTAACTCTAAGTTTTCGAAACATGAATTAGTTTCCCTTCCAACGGCCACCGCTTGCTTCGTTTTAGTTTTGATTTATTAGGAAGTTTTAGACTTTGTTCCAGATTGCGTATGACCCGTCACGCTGTAGCGAGTAACATGTAGTCACTGTAGCCAAAGCAGAGGTCGCAAACGGGTTTTGATTCCTGGCCTGCACCAGGGTCGCAAACGGGTACATGTACCCTACCCGATACCCGGCTACCCGTACCCGGCTGGGTATCGGGTACCCGATTGCGACCTCTGGGATGAAGCCATGTTGCAGGCGCGGGTGGGTTGATTTTCGGAACTTGAATTGTGAGAAGAGACAAGACGTTGGGAAATGAGTGACAAACGGTTACTCACCAGTGACTCACGGCCTACCCGTACCCGTACCTGGCCGGGTACTCGTACCCGGCCGGGTACGGGTAGCCGGGTATCGGGTAGGGTACGGGTATCGGGTACCCGGTTGCGACCTCTGAGCCAAAGTAGAGATTCGTTCCAAAAGAAAATAAAAGGACGTGTATACGTTTTACTGTGCTGTTCACAAGTTGGATAAATGATTCGTTTTCTACGTCGTCTGCAGTTTGCTCCAGCCTATCAATTTTCCAACCGATATTTATTCAAATTAAGGGAATGTGATAATTGGTTTTTTACCCTTCTATCTGGCAACAAAACTGACACCTTTTTACAAGGAGTCATGTTTGCATAGACCGCAATACCTGCAGTCATAATACGAACAAAAGACATAACTCTGATAATGTGCACTGTCCTTGAAGTTGATTAGTCTACACCCGAGACAGCTTTCCTTAGAGCCTAGTCTCACATGGTGTTGGACCAGATGACGCCAAAAGGCGCACAACTCAAAGACAATGCACCATCAGAGTATGAGAGCTCGGGGCAAGCATCTACACTATGGGAACCTCATTTGCCAGTAAAAATATAATTGGGTAAAAAACCAATTATCATATTTTTACTGGCAAATGAGGTTCCCATAGTTAAGGGAATGTATTCGTATACAGATGACAAAGGGAAGGTCTTGAGCCAAGACTTGATTAAGGTGGGCATGGAGTCGGCATAACTGATGTCTGGGGTGGTACGAGTTGAAGACCAACAGACGATATAACTATTCAACTATTACTAACGTTTTTGTTGTTTTACCAGGCAAGGCCCACTGAGCGATGTAGCTCTTTTCCAGAAGCGACCTAGCCACAAATGATACCTCAACGAAGTGGCTTATCGCGTGGCAATTTATAGCATCCAAATACTCTGAACGCACGATTATTCTAAATGTGGAGGGATTACCCACGCGACCACGGGGAGAGAGAGAGAGAGAGACACGCAAAGTCCAAATACACAGCAGGCGTCAGGCTCCGGATAGAACACACCCACCTCCTGTACACCAGGCGAGGTAGTTGACATCTCGCCGGTCCGTGACACATCGAGGGCAATATCCCCATCCAGAGAACGTGGATTTGGATAATCGATTGGATGGCTGAGAACAAAAGAGTGCTCTGTAAATAACACAAAATCTCGGGCGTTTACCAGTTCCGGGCATTTATCACGTAACTTGTTTTGCTCGTGCGTTTGCACACAGCTGTAATTTAGCACCCGTCGTTTTTCGTTCATCATTTTCTTTTAGTGCATCCGCTGCTGCTGCTTCCGCTATGTCCCTCACACGCTTCGTAATTCCCATCGCTGTGATGTCACTCGAGCGTAAGGTGTTTGACAGTTCTGCTTCCGTGGTGTGGGAAGTCGTGAAGATTGTCCACGACTGCCTATGCGGTCGTGTGGATGTCCAAATATGCGCAATTGAAACTTGCTTATTGAGCTTTCTCCGTTTGCTGCCAGTTTTTAAACGTATTGTAATACTACCACCAGTGGCTGTGTCTAATTAAACTGGAATAAAAATAAATAAAACTAATTTATAATAAACGTGATTGTCTCTTGCGTGTTATATCTTCCACACTTGTTCGTGGGTTTTCACTCCTATTTTAGAACACGTGTACGGAATTGGTAAGAGCTCAGCACATCCGCCCATCCGTCAGCAATGCCACCTTGTGCATTCATCTACAAGCTTGTCCGTGGATGTTTTTTTTCCCTAGATGTTTATGTTATAAAATTTATGAAAACGATTATATTCAACGGGATAGAGTAACATGTAAAGGTGTGAGCCTAACATTGACTGGATATCTATAAAACTACTGGACATCTGAGAAACTACTTGGACATCTATAAAACTACTGGGACATCTGTGGTATTACTGGGACATCTGTGAAACTACTGGGACATCTGAGAAACTACTGGGACATCTATAAAACTACTGGGACATCTGTGGTATTACTGGGACATCTGTGAAACTACTGGGACATCTGATAAACTACTGGGACATCTATAAAACTACTGGGACATCTGAGAAACTACTGGGACATCTATAAAACTACTGGGACATCTGTGATATTACTGGGACATCTGAGAAACTACTGGACATCTGAGAAATTCCTGGACATTTGTGAAACGACTGGGACATCTGTGAAACTACTGGGACATCTGGAAAACTACTGGACTCTTCTTGGTTCGAATCCAGCGGCCGCCCTGATTATTCTTCGTGGCTGACCCTCCTCGATTAGGTCGCAAAAGTCGACCTCGCTCGACGAGATGGTGAAGACGATGTGGCGTGACAAGAAGGTTCCTCTCCTGTGCCGTGTGGGGTCATGAATGCAGGTGCTGGGACTACTGCGGCGGGCACGTGACCCAAACCACCGAGATCGGCTTTGCAGCAATAGCATGGGAAACATCATCCCAAGGGCCGCATCAACACTGCCTTATAAACAGCAGGCTAATGTTTCAGGCAGTTTGCCGTTGCATGGAAAAGTCAAATGAAATATTTCACATTCCTCACCGAATATTTTCGCGTTGCCGAGGGAAAATGTCCATGTTTTACACGGGTAAAGTGGAATCTCCACCACGATAAAGGGGCCTACGTATGTAGGTACAAATTTTGAAAGTGTTGCATTTGTCAGTGTCTGATTTCGAGTAGATTCAGTGTCTCCCTGCTCTAAAAACGTAAAGATATTTTTATTTCACCACTGAGCTATTTAGCTATTTCTGAAGCGATCTGGCCACAAGTGATAGTTTGACGAAGTGGCTCATCATCACGTGGACATTTGTAGCAGCCAAATACTCTAAACGCGTGATTCTAAATGTGGATGGGGAAACCCAAGGACCGGCAGAAACATCCACACGACCACGGGGAGAATATGCAAACTTCAAATGTACAGCAGACGTCAGGGTCAGAATCGAACCCACGACTTCCTGTATACCAGGCGAAGTAGTTAACACATTCCTGCGGAGGGAGTTGGTAGGAACGTTGGGTTGCTCGGTCAATGGCCAGGGTCAACGGCGGCGTGGTGTATTCCGCAAATATGGCCGACTGTGAGGGCGGGCACAAGCCGGCGTGAGTAGGTTAAACGTTGAGTTTTATAAGGGTACCACGGGGTGACCAGCCCCTCCCCACCAGCCCCACCCAGCCCCACCCTCCCCACCCAGCCCCACCCTCCCTACCCAGCCCCTCCCCATCCAGCCCCTCCCCATCCAGCCCCTCCCCACCTCACCCAGCCCCTCCCCTCCCTCCCCACCCAGCCCCTCCCTGCACGACGGACACAATAATCCCGTGGGTTGGTGTAACCAGGTTCCTACCAGTATAACGTTATTCCATACATAGCCAGATTTAAATCACGTTATTCCATACATAGCCACCAGGTGGCACCACTGACGCACGACACTGAGCTTGTCGATTTGAAGGCAGCCCCTTGCCTTGTCGGCAGATACGGCCCTGAAGAGTTGTGCGGCGGTGGCTTGCGCATTGCAACGAGAAAGTTCGACTCCATGTCACGGCTAGCAACAGTGGCGATTGATGATAATGCAAAACATCCTTCCCCCATACGTCCAGATTTTTGCACCCCAAGTGCTATCCCTAATTTGTTTACAATTTTCACCATTACTCAAAATCTAACACTACCTATACCGATCTTGATTTGAAGCTTTCGTGACTGCAGGAATCCATACGCTTTGATTCTTTCGGTAAAGTCACGTAGGTAGAAAAATAAAATTAAAATTAGATATCACGTTTCAATCGAATTTCTGAACCAGTTCTACCGCTGGATTATTTTTTTTCGCTTGAGTACAACTGCTTGTGTTGCGATCGAAACGGCGTGATATATATTCTTGTATTTTCTACCTCCGTGACGACTTTACCGAAAGAACCTAAGAGTACTACCTATACCAGTTCAATAAACTTCCTTTGACAATTTTTTTGTAATTTTACAAAAGCCCATTGCGATTGCATTTCGAAATCAAAGCAGGCTCAACTCAGCTCTTTGGTTCTTTCGGTAAAGTCACGTAGGTGAAAATAACAAAATAAAATATTAAAACTAAACTAAATCACGACGTTTCGGGCACAACACAAGCGTCCTCCATCAGGTGGGGACCCCCACAGCGAAAACAATCGCTGAAGTATGCCGAAAGAGTGCCACCATCCAGACGAAGTGTTCAGCAGTTTTTTTCTTGCCGTGGTTGACCCACCTGATGACGATTGCTTGTGTTGCGATCGAAACGTCGTGATCTATTCTTTTTCTACCTATGTGACTTTACCGAAAGAACCAAAGAGTATGGATCATTGCAGTCACAAAAACTTCAAATCTAGAATTAGGCCCAACCCTGCTTCAACTGCCCAGATCTGACATCGCAGGCGACTGGACCCACAGGCCTCAACAACCACAAAAATAAAAACACAAAGCGTCGTGAACATTGTTTGTGACTTTTATTTACAGATGAAAATATCAGAATTACACCACTATAAGACAAACCTGGGATAGCCCGCTGCGTGAACAGCAGCACTATGCAGCAGGTGACCTTGAACAGATGGCCATCTCAAGGGCAGCAGAAGGAACGAGGGTAGAACAACCATCGGTGATGACACAGCTCTAGGCATTGATGATTACGAGAACATTCACGCGAAGCTATGTTTAAAACTAAACTGGGCATCCGATAATAAAAACTGTTGGTCTAATATAGACAAAGCCAAAGTTACTAAGGAGTTAAGCAGCCTATGAAAAGTTTGTTTTAATGAGATGTTCATAAATATATAACCATCCCTGGGCAAAGAAATACCAATTGCATCCTGTCAACATAAATATAAGTCTAACAATAATGATCCAGACTTTGTAATCATTGCTCGAGAGCTGAAACAATTAAAATATCTGTATAAGACCCATAGTTCCATTCGTATAAGAAAAGGTTCAGTATTTACTACAATTTTCTTTCCCCCTCTCAAATACTGCGTTCAAGAATAGTTCTTTAAACGATCATAGAATGACTCCAAATTATGCATTTCCCACAAATGTGAAACATTTTTTTACAAGCATGACAGTTGTGTTCCATCCTTCACCGCAAGATTTCGCACTTTTCCTCTTCATCCAGTTCACTTGAAGGAGAAAAACACACAGGAAAAACACATTTTAGTGACGTACAAGACTATGACATTTAAACAAGCAGCAGCTCTGTCACCAAACGCCAACACTCCAATGTGTCCATGTTCAATCAAGCATTGGGGCCAGTACTCATCTATACTGATCCAGTGGTGCACATTCCACATTCTCATGGCAAGTACCAATTTATAAAGTAGGCCGCCAACATAACCACGGTACGATCATGTGTCGAAAGTAGATTTCGTTTTGCTCCCGATTTCACGACAACTTTGCCATCGGCATTGTCCCACAAAGTGAAGGGTCCATTCGGAACTCGCAGCAACGTATTGTATCCACGTGTCGAGAGAATGGCGCACAAGAGACATCACAGAAGTATTTCTGAGATCCCTTTAAGCGACACGCACGGGGGGAACTCGCTTTGCCATTGCCTCCTGCTGGAGATATTTCCCAGTTGGCGGTCAAACGAATTTATTTTTAATTAGTTCTAAAGCTTTCGTGACTGCAGGGATTCATATTCTTGATTCTTTCGGTAAAGTCACGTAGAAGGGAAATAATAAAATAATAAAAATAAAACATAATAAAATAATTCTCACGACGTTTCGATTGCAACACAAGCAATCGGCATCAGGTGTGAAAACCACAGTAAGAACATTTTCTCGTTGCAATCAAAACGTCGTGTGAATTGAATTGTTTTATTTTTTTTATTATTTTACTATTTCCCTTCTACGTAACTTTACCAAAAGAACCAAGAAAATAATTCTGAGACCTCTAATTTTTTTAACCAAATAAATTCCAACAATTTTTTCATATTCTCTTGGCGCAGTCACACCGATGCCGAGGATAAGAGACCAGTTTCGCTACACTGGACAAAACCTGGTGTAATCATAGGCGGCTTCATAACCCAGCGGGGCTGGCCCGTTGCTTTTGACGCATAAGCCGCTCACAGAGCCACCCACCTCGTCATTGTTGCACACCAATTTACATTTGGCCAGCTACAATTAAACAAAACGCGCCGCATCCTATCCCGTGAAAATCTCAACGCACATTGGCCATGGAGCAAATATGAAGATGGCACTTTGCAAAGCAACACCAGAAGACACACAATTGTTCCGAATACACACGCTTACTAATAATACACATGATTGACACGGTTGGCTACGTGCGGTGCGGAAGAAGTTCAACACATCTTCTTGGTTCTTTCATTAAAGTCACGTAGAAGGGAAATAATAAAATAATAAAATTAAACGTAATAAAATACAATTCTCACGACGTTTCGGCCACAACGCAAGCAGCCGTCCTCAGGTGAAGAACAGGTCTGTCGGAAAGACAGCGTCTGAATGGACCTGTTCTTCACCTGAGGACGGCTGCTTGCGTTGTGGCCGAAACGTCGTGAGAATTGTATTTTATTATGTTTTATTTTATAATTTCCCTTCTACGTGACTTTACCGAAAGAACCAAGAAGATGAATCCCTGCAGTCACGAAAGCTTTAAATCGAAAGTTCAACACACGGACAATACTGCTACTACTAAACATCTTTGTTTACTCAAAAATTCCCTCATTGAGTCAAGATTCTTTTCAAGAGGGTCCTACTCGTGATGTTTGGTCTTCTTTATTTCGTTTTTATTCTATGTAGAAAATTGAAATGCCTGCAGAAAACCCACATAACCAGGCAACACGCAGACACCACGCTGGCAGGTTCACGTCCTACTTGCTGTACTGCCTCATTGTCCAGCAGATGGGTTTCTCGCATATTACGAACTCCGTGTTTCTACAACCCACTGAACCAGCCATACCATGCGTTTAGGAGTATTCGGCTGCTGTAAATGTGTGCACATCAGCCACTTAATCGCGCTATCATTTTCGGCCAGGTCGCTTCCATAAAATAGCTACATTGCTCAGTGGGCCTTAGCTGGGGTCAAATAAAAATCGTTCCGTGTTGGTTATGCTCCACTATTTGGATGCGTACTCATGTAATTGTCCACATTACAAGACGCACGCCCATGCTATCAAGGTCAAAATCATGAGTGATAATCCATTGGCATCTGTCGCAGAACAGTGTAACGCCTTGTTAGAATGTGGCACGCGGATACGGACATCACAGAACTACTGCTGAGATTCCTTAAAGTTGCCACCGATCCACAGAGTGCAGCACCTTCCAACCTGACTCGCCACGAAGTGGAATTGTTTGTCGTACGAGTCAAATTAGTATTTTTATTTTCAAGGACCTGCAATTTAGCAGCATTTCATGTAGCATCAAATGTAATATAAGAAAAGGTTTTGTCCTTTTTGGCCATAAAACAGGTGTTAAGATTTCAAAACATCAAACCGAAACCTTTCGCAAGGAATCTATTCTGATATTTTGATACTGGCAAGATGTAGCTGCTCGTCAAATGTAAAAAATTAACCCGTAAAAACAAAGTTTTTCACTATAAATCCTTTATATGCGTGGCGGCTAGAGTCCTCTCGTCCTCTGGCTTGAGATGGCTGCCACCTATGGGTCAGATGATTGCCTGCCACCATTAAGCAATTGGTAATTAAATATTTAAAAAAATTCCTAAAATGTTGAAAATTTTGGGAAAAAATTTTCACGAAAATAAATTGTCACGCACAACGAGTCTGTGTGCAAAATGTCAGCTCGATTGGATCACGGGAAGTGGGTTAAAACACGACCGAAAGATTTACACGGTCGTAAGCGCGCAAGCAAGCAAGTGAACTTAATATAAAGGATTTAAAAATGCCCTGACTTATTAAATACTTTAAAACGCTCTCCTGATGCACACGACCACCTGCCTTCTATGTTCCTCTGTACCAGAGGCAGCCATCGCTTTCACAACATTCAAGTGCCTGTTGAGAGAAGAGAGAGGGGGTCATTATAAAAATCATTGTTGGGAGTCTCTATGGTTTTTTTCTTTCTCTCATTACCAATGCTATGCATTTTTCGATTTAAAGCTTTCGTGACTGCAGGGATTCATCTTCTTGGTTCTTTCGGTAAAGTCACGTAGAAGGGAAGTAATAAAAAATAAAACGTAATAATTCTTACGACGTTTCGGCCACAACGCAAGCAGCCGTCCTCAACTCAGCTTAAATATACGCTCCAAGCGTGGTGTTGTTTCATTCAGACGCTGTCTCCCCGACAGACCTGGTCTTCACCTGAGGACGGCTGCTTGCGTTGTGGCCGAAACGTCGTGAGAATTATTTTATTATGTTTTATTTTTTATTACTTCCCTTCTACGTGACTTTACCGAAAGAACCAAGAAGACATTGCCATGCACTTCACTTGGCGATGTTAACGCGAGGCCAGAATAGACAACAGCTCTGCGCATGCCATTCACCGGGCAACACGTGATTAGAAGACACTCCAGATTATAAGACGCACGCACAGCACATGCTATCAGTGTCACGCCTGTAATCCAGTGCTTTGTGGAGATGCTTCGTGAGACTCAACAACACCTGGTGGGGGCTGCAAGGTGGCAAGACAACTACAGTACAGCAAGCAGGTTTCTGATGTGTCTACGCGGATTACCAGAGTTTCATGTCCCTTTGTACGGGGTGGGTTTTCTCCAGGTGCTCCGGTTTACCCCAAAGTGCAAACGTGTTCATTTTAAACAGTTACAAAGCCAAACAATACCGATTTACAACAACCCCCCCCCTCTTGAACATGAGTCTTGAGACTCGGTGAAAAGTTCCTGGATAAACTAAGAATTATTCTCAACTCAAAAAAAAAGCACACACCGTTCCGGAAGAACAATTTTCACGACTGTGGTTCCCAACTTTTTTCAACACGAGTTGTAAAAGCAAATCGGTGACCCGGCCGATACATTGACTCACTCCGTTTGATCACAAGCGGCTGCCTGGTTTGGATCCCATGATCCCAGTGGGGCCCAACTCAGGGCTCTGACCTCCGAGCCACCTGCTTTGTTTACAGATTGAAAGGGAGACAGATTAGATTGGACTCCCTAAAGCAGTGGTTCTTAACCTTCACCTGTAGCCTTGCACCCCCCTTCCTTTGGATCTCAATCGTAAAAAAAAAAGTATGTTAATAAATACATTGGGGTTTGATGAAACAAAGTAGTCGTACTAAAGTGCCCGTACTTAATTTGTGTTTCGATGATTTACCTTCTGAAAAAATCTGGCCGTGTCTCGCACCTCCAGAAAGGGCACCCCAAGTTAAGAACCACTGTCCCCTCAAGCAACGCCACGCTCATCTCCACCAGCTGAGCATTCTCCAACCGGTAAGACATCCCACATTCCCATGGCGGTAGTAGTCAGTCTCTACGCTGGACATGGAGTGGTCCCCCCCGTTTCACTTTAGCTAAATTCCGACGGCAGAGGGGGCAAGCCGTCCCAAACGGTAGTCAGCAAGCGACTCGTCCACCAAGCAGACCGCATCAACACAACTGACGTGCTTGCGTCCGTGGATGGAATTCCTTTCCAGCTCAGACCCTGCTTGCTTGCCCATCACCACGTAAATAACCTCTTGTTGTAACAGCTCTCTCGCCGGTTCAGCAGTTCCACTGCCCGAGGACGACCGCTTGTGTTGCGATCGAAACGTCGTGATTTATATATTTTTTCTTATTTTTTTACCTACGTGACTTTACCGAAAGAACCAAAGAGTATAGATTCCTGCAGTCACGAAAGCTTCATAGCAAGATCAGACCGCAATTGCGTAATGCCGATCTTAAGTTCACATTGACGATCATGTGGCAGTTTGCTTCATGGTGAACGCTATGTTCACGTGTCTACTCCTATAGACGCGATCCACTATCCTCAAAACTCCTTGCTATGGCGTGGGGGGGGAAAGTCTTCCCATGAGTCAAGCGCCGCTGACTTTCCAACAAAGTGGTTCGTATTTTATCAGCCCTAGCCAAAGGCATGATGGGCTGAGCCAATGCGCCACCAGGATTTGAGAACTCGCCACATTCCGCTCGTTCTACCGCTGAGACTAAACTGTTGACTATTTTTATTTTACCGGCTAAGGCCCACTGAACGAACTCGTCACAAATGATAGCTCAACGAAGTGGCTTATCACGTGTACACAACATGCATCCACATTTTTTTAGTTTTCCTGTTAGATTGACAACGCGTATAGTATTATATTTTTACACAAATCATAATGCGTGCAAGTAATTTGCCGGGTTGCACTGCAAACTTTTTTTTTTTACTTTTGGGGTGAGATGTAGCTGCATTTAGACGTGACGTACAAATCACAATTATATATTATACACGGGGGCGATCCATTCATAGACACCCCGCTAAAATAAAAAGGGAGAAATTCGAGAGAAAAAAAAAGCATTTTGTCTCAAAGCCTGTACCACGTCTCCCACCAATCTCAATACACAGTGTTGGTGTACGGTGCTTTTTTGCAATATTTTAAGATGTTTTCTTGTTCATGTTTTTGGTTTTTGTTTGTTGCGGTTGCACCCGATTCAAGAGCCGAATGGCTCACAGGGCTATACCAAATAAATGAACTTGAACTTGAAATACTTTAACACTTTCCTGATACACACGGCTGCCTGTGTTCGATGTTACCACTGCAACATTTGCAGACATCGCTTTGACAACATTCTAGTGCCTATAGTCTTGGTTCTTTCGGTAGTCGCGTAGAAGGGAAATAATAAAATGATAAAAATATAAAGCGAAAAAATTCTCACGACGTTTCGACTGCAACACAAGCAATCATCATCAGGTGTGAAATCCACAGCAATTTTTTTTCTCTTTTATTTATTTTTTCTATATCTACGTGACTTGATTTCACACCTGATGATGATTGCTTGTGTTGCAGTCGAAACGTCGTGAGAATTGTATTGTTATATATTGTATTATTTTATTATTTCCCTTCTACGTGACTTCACCGAAAGAACCAAGAATATGAATCCCTGCAGTCACGAAAGCTTTAAATCGAAATTCGAGTGCCTGTTGAGAAGAGAGGGGATTCATTCTAAATCACTGTGGCGTCTCCACCGTTTTATTTCTCGTTGCCGTTCCCATGAACTTCACTTGGCGATTCCTTCGGGTATTGCCGACGACGATGACTCTGTCCATCTGCCCGACTGTTTCGTCTCTAGCTTCTTTTTTTCTTTTGTTCGAACTTCTTTCACACCGTACGGAGCCAACCGTGCAAATCGGAGGTGCGGGGGAAGGACAACTAAACTAACCCCCCCCCCCCCCCCAAATTATGAGACCTCCTTTGCCAGTAGCAAGATATAGTAAGAGGCTTTAACCCTTTCATCTGGCACCAAAACTGACACCTTTATACAAGGGATCATGTTTGCAATAACCACAACACAAGCAGTCAAAATGCAAACAAAAAGAGACATCTCTGATAATGTATGCACTGTCCTTGAAATTGATTGGTCCACACCCGAGAAGGCTTTTCTTAGAGCCTAGTCTCACATGGTGTTGGACCAGATGACGCCAAAAGGCGTACAACTCAAAGACAGCGCACTATCAGAGCATTGAGAGCTTGGGGTAAACATTTACATTATGAGACCTCCTTTGCCAGTAGCAAAATATAGTAATAGGTTTTATCCCTTTTATCTGGCACCAAAACTAACACCTTTATACAAGGGATCATGTTTGAACCAATCAATTTCAAGGACAGTGCATATCATTATCAGCGTTGTCTCTTTTTGTTTGCATTTTGACTGCAAGTGTGGTGGTTATTGCAAACATGATCCCTTGTATAAAGGTGTCAGTTTTGGTGCCAGATAAAAGGGTAAAAACATATTACTATACCCCCCCCCCCCCCCTTAGCCTTTCAGGGACCCTGACCCATGAACAACTTAGAAACACAAAGTTGGGAACCACCGCATCCATCTTCTTGGTTCTTTCGGTAAAGTCACGTAAAACAGAGACTCTGTCTTCTCGACAAACCTGTTCTCCACCTGAGGACGGCTGCTTGCGTCATGGCCGAAACGTCGTGAGAATTATTTTATTATGTTTAAATTTTATTATTTTATTACTTCCCTTCTACGTGACTTTACCGAAAGAACCAAGAAGATGAATCCCTGCAGTCACGAAAGCTTTAAATCGAAATTCACCGCATCCATATTATTATTATTCAGCATTAACAATCGTCGCGGGCATCCCAACAATTCCTTTGAGGAGGTGGTTCTGATACGAGCAGGGTCTATCTGCATGCAACGACAGTAGGAGGCGGGGGGGGGGAACCTACGTTCTTTTGGGAAAAGCCGTCTAAGCTAGAAGACACACGCAGGTTCAGTACAGCTGGGTGGTGGGGAGAGTGGAAACGCTAACTACAGCAGGTGGCAAGCAGATATAGTCCAGTGGCCGAGAAGACCATGGACCAAATGCTGATACCACAAACTTACTTTACTCTGATTATAAGAGACCGCTCTGCGCAACAGAGGAGAGCAAATCCACTGCTTTCCATGAGAAAACTGTCAAGCGGATGGGGGGGGGGGGGGTTAAATTCAATTCGCGGATGCATGGCTGTGCTTCTGCCGGGTTATGTCAGCAAATTAAAACGGCAGCAGCAGATCATAACGAAACAAACAGTCGGTACGCGCTTGTTAAATCAACAGCCAAAGTGTGTCGGTGGCGCAGCGGTGTTAATTTTCTGCCCAGAGCTAGTGGTGGAAATTCCACATTCCTATGGTAGGCATCATCGATTCCATAGGCCAGCCACTGTTAAATCACGTATTAATACTAATAGGGTTTTTCCCCTTTTTCTGGCAACAAAACTGACACCTTTCGCAAGGAATCATGCTTACATTAAACACAATACTTGCAGTCAAATGCAAACAAAAAACCAGACTCTGATAATTTATGCATTGTCTTTGAAACTGATTGGTCCACACCAGAGACAGCTTTCTTTAGAGCCTAGTCTCATATGGTGTTCGACCAGATGACGCCAAAAGGCGCACAGTTCAAAGACAACGCACTACCAGAGTAATGAGAGCTCGGGGTGAGCAGCTACATCATGGGACCTCCTTTGCCAGTACCAAAATATACTAATAGGGGTTTTCCCCTTTTTTTCTGGCAACAAAACTGACACCTTTCGCAAGGAATCATGCTTACATTAACCACAATACTTGCAGTCAAATGCAAACAAAAAACAATACTCTGATAATTTATGCATTGTCTTTGAAACGGATTGGTCCACACCAGAGACAGCTTTCTTTGGAGCCTAGTCTCATATGGTGTTCGACCAGATGACGCCAAAAGGCGCACACGTAGTAATGTTTAGTGGATCGACCATTGGCTTCTTGCAGATCAATGTTACTCAGCAAACACGTGTTTGATACAAACCATACCAGCGTGTGGGCTGCAAAAATGTTTCTTGCTGTGATTTCCCACCTGATGACGATTGCTTGTGTTGCAATCGAAACGTCGCGATTGATTTTATTTTATACCCACGTGACTTTAACGAAAGAACCAAAGAGCGTGGATTCCTGCAGTCACGAAAGCTTCAAATCTAGATTGAGCGATTGTTTGTTGACAACCATTTGTCAAATCTACTGTTGGATGAACGCCTCGACAGGCTGTGACAGTCACTCGCCACACTGATGTTTGGCCGTGGCCGAGAATCGTTGGTTTCATAGCGCAGTGCGACGCTAACCATTGTGCGACTGCTCCTCCCAATAAGCGATAACAATACAAATGGACCAGGAAATGGTTTGATAAATCGCAACAATAACCCTAAAGGCATCAATGGATGTTTATTTTTTTGACCAGTGTTTCCCACTTGCCTTTTGCATAAAGAGCCCCTTAAACTTGCCACACCGTGGCATCTGATTATTTGGAGCTTGCACGTTCGCCCCCGTAGTCGGGTGGAGTTTTCTCCGGGTCCTCTGGTTTTTCCCTCCACATTTATGAACGTGCGTTTAGAGTATTTGGCTGCTATACATTTCAACGTGATAAGCCCACTTGGTTGAGCTATCATTTGTGATCAGGTCAATTCTCAAGAAGAGTTACATAGCTCAGCGAAGCCTTCCCTGGTTAAATAAAAACACAGTTTTTTTTTCCCCCGCTAAAATCTTCCACATCTTCTGGTGTGGCTGGGATAGTGCCAGTTTCACAAAGACAGTCAAAATTAATCGCAAATCAAATCGCAATATCTGTCAGAAAAATCGCAATCAGATATTTTCCCCAATTCGTTCAGCCCTAGCCCCACACCCCACCCCGTGTGTGGCGAACGTACAAAGTAAACCTCGGAGATGTCGCTATCCTGTCCGTCGGGTGGGGGGGTGGCGGAGGGGGCCCCCCTTAACAGATGGGGCCTGTAGCTGGCCGCGCCGGGGGGGTCTGCACTCTCGGGCTCCGCTCCGCTCTCGATCGTCACCTCCACCTCCTCCGGCATCACCACTCGTCTGTACGGACGGGCACAGCAACAAACGCACGTTCGCTCGCCAATCAGGAGTCCGAGAGAGACACAGAGGCCTATTCTTAGGTTTTTTGGGTAAAGTCACGTAGGTAAAAAATTTTAATTAATAAAAGTAAAATAAAAAATATAATAAAAATCACGACGTTTCGGAGGCAACACAAGCTTCCGTCTTCAGGTGGAACCGTCACAGCACGATAGCTGTATCAAGTGAGAGAAATTCCAAGAACACAGTATTTGTATATATACTGGTTGAGGGTGGGAGGAGCCAAGGTAGGCCCAGAGGCCTGTCCAACCAGAATCGCGCATTCAGAGTATACGGCTGCTATAAATCTCCACACGATGATAAGCCATATTCTTGGTTCTTTCGGTAAAGTCACGTAGAAGGGAAATAATAAAATAATACAAATATAAAACAAAATTCTCACAACGTTTCGATTGCAACACAAGCAATCATCATTTATTATTTTTCGATTTAAAGCTTTCGTGACTGCAGGAATTCATATTCTTGGTTCTTTCGGTGTAGTCACGTAGAAGGAAAATAATAAAATAAAAGAAATATTAAACAATATTGCTTTAGAATTTTTTTTATTGTTATAGATTTTTTTTATTTTATTATTTCCCTTCTACGTGACTTTACCGAAAGAACCAACAATATGAATCCCTGCAGTCACGAAAGCTTTAAATCAAGATGATAAGCCACTTCGTCGGGCTATCATTTGTGGTCAAGTCGCATCTGGAAAAGAAGCTAAGACGCTCGGTGGGCCTTTCCTGGTGAAATAAAAAAATAGTTTAGTTTTTTTTAAACTTAATTCAAACGCAGCATCACGGCATCGCCCACGCTCGTCAAAGACGCCGCACTGCCCACGCAGTGCAGTGTGGCACGTCAGCGGCTTGGCATTCTGCAGGGTGGAAAACAAAACCTAGCCGTGCATCCTGGAGCAGCGTCAGCCTGACTTGGCAAGGCACTGGGCAAAGGTTGGATGTGCCCAAACACTTTATGTTGACGGGGTTGGTGACCAAGGGGCTGAGACAAAAAATGTATACTCTTTGGTTTTTTTGGTAAAGTCACGTAGGTGAAAATAAAAATAAAATAAAAATGAAAAAACAACTAAATTAAATCACGACGTTTCGGAGGCAACACAAACTTTCGTATTCAGGTGGAACTGCTACAGCAAAATTACTGTAGTAAGCTTTTCATTTAAATTGTATTTTTATTTTCTACCTACGTGACTTTACTGAAAAAAACAAAGAGTATGGATCCTTGCAGTCACGAAAACTTCAAATCTAGAACAAAAAAGGTCATCAAAGGTTTGTACACGAAGCCATACAAATATACAAACACAGACATAATTTCAACCGTGATGACGGTTACAAACTGAGTAATCATTGGAAAGATGTGATTAACCATACAAAAAAGATTTAACTACACTTATTTGCCCATCTTATTTGACAGACAACTATTACAGGTTTATCATGTTTAGTGGTTGTCTCCTTGTCACAGTTTGAGTCACAAACCGCACCTCTCCATAACAAAGGCTCACCCTCTTAAGCCTCACCTTACCATATTAATAAAAAGTGTGCTGCACTTGGCCCTTACCCCCCCCCCCCCTTCTCCAACCATTATATAAACGGAGTGGTAGCTCCTGCAATCTCTCATTTACTTGATACAGCTGTCGTGGCTGTGACGGTTCCACCTGAAGACGGAAGCTTGTGTTGCCTCCGAAACGTCGTGATTTTTATTTTATTTTACTTTTATAAATTTTAATGTTTTACCTACGTGACTTTACCGAAAAACCTAAGAATATGAATCCTTGCAGTCACGAAAGCTTCAAATCTAGAATTAGAACAAAAAATGTAATCGCTACACGGGTTGGGCTTCCTGGATTCGAACTCGGGGTTCTCAGCGGTGTGAGCTCAAGGCTCTGACCTCTTGAGCCACCTGGCCACCTCCATAGCTGATATTTTAGTCGTACTGTATTGGGACGAATGCAGAGCGTCCCCCCCTTCTCCCCTCGCCCTCCCCCACCCTCATGTTTGCCAAGCGGCAGCACATTGACCTCAGCGCTGTTCCACTCAGCATCAGGCTGGGCAGTTTGCACAGCACTGTCAACAGCAAACACCATCTGTCTCGCACAAAGCCACCAACCCTTACCAGGTAATTGAATACAGAAATATAACATGGAATTAAACGCTGAAAAATCAACAGCCAGACTTCAAACCGATGACGCTCCACCCCATTTTCCTCTCCACGCACTCGCCCGTCCGTCTGTCGAGCGTCTCTGAGGCTCGGTGCCGTTTCATTTGCAGAGCGAAGCACTCGAAGCCAACCGCATGTTGCGTGCGCCACAGACGTCCCATCTCGTGGCGTCCCCTATGGCGGCATCTGTGCCCTTTAAATAAAAACGTCACTGCCTCCCATTCAGAATAATGAAAGGGCGCTGCATGACCCCCCAAGTTGACAAACCTATCCAAATCAAGACGTGCATTTTTCACCCGCCCCCGTCTTTTAAAGCAAATGTTGCTGGTGCGTCATATAACAACCGCGAGGTTATGGTTATTACGGCTTCTGGATAGCGGCACGTGGGAATGAGATGGGTGGCTTATAATCTGGTGTGTGTGCGCGTGCGTGAGACCAGATTAGCGCATGTTGCAAGCGGTATATAGATTATTTTTGGCTGCTATAGATTTGCACATGATAAGCCACTTTGTTGAGCTTTTGTGGCCAGGTCGCTTCTGAAAAATAACGAATAGCTCAGTGGACTTGTAGATCATGAAATAAAAACCGTTTAGTTTTTGTATGTTAATTTACTCATTAATTTCTAGTGATTTGCTCACCTTCCCTATACTCTGCACTGTCGTTTTTTAAAAATACGATTTGTTTTTGTAACTCTGTGACCCGCCCCTACTGGACATCTGTAAAAAATTTTTTTTCAAAAGCTTCACAGCTCATCGGATTTCTCCAGGATAAATAAGATTTTAATTCTGATTCCGGTTCACACATTGTATATTACCGGTTGGCAGGGTGTGTGGGCGCGATCTCCACTGGGAAATGCTCGCTGGCCGACAGCGACGTGGAGGACAGAGTGGTGGCGATGGAGGCAGTGGTGGCATCCTCCAGCGATGGAGGGGTGCTGGGCAGAATGTCCGGTCGACCATGTGGCAGACCTGGCAGCAGCAGCACCACAACAACAACAACAACACAACAACAGTGTCAGCAGCTTAGCAGTGTCAAGCACAGAACTATTGCCCCCAATTTGATACACAACTCTCATTGGTACTGTCAATAGAACGGAGCAGTAGATTGAATATTCACTTCTTGAGAATCGCTTTTTGTGTTTAGTTTGATGTCCTTCCCCTGCACCTATTAGCACGGCTGGGTCTGTACGATGCAAAAAAAAACCATACAACATGAACGAGTACATTATACGGTTGCACTCATTACATACGTGATTGCCACAAATGAACTACATCACGTGAACTCCGGTCATGCTCGCAGCGGCTTTTGGTTAACCGTCGAACAAAGACGGTGGCCACCGCATCGCGGGCTTTCAGATGCACTGTCCGCGGCCGTCTGGAATGCTCTTCACTCGCATATTAGAAAGCAACTGGAGCAATGCACTTATAAATCTAGATTGAAAACTAATTTCTTTAGAACTGCTCTTTGTAATAATTTAATTGTCCTTCACCCCGCACCTCCGATTAGCACGGTTGGCTACGTACGGTGCGAAAGGAGTCCAACAGGCATACCACACACAACCAGTGTCGCCATCTGACAATCGGAACCCTCATCGGTGCTGACAAAGACAGATACGGCCTCATGGTGTGCCAACTCGCAACACACGCAGCAGCGAACGTTTTGTCAGCGTCACCCCTGGGGTCCTGGATCGGCCATGAGCTAGATGCCTCCATTGTCCTGTGAGGCCCGGCAATTAATTACACTGGTCAACACACTTTTTCTGACATAAGGTATTCCAACGGTTTTAAGGTAATTTTGGGGTGCCGATTCCAAATCTGGCATCAGTTTTTGTCTATCACATCAGTTTTTTTGAGATATCAAATATTGCATTTTCAATAAAAACTGCAGAAGAAAAATATTAAATAAATGTGGATATCTACTTAAATGATATTATAAACACACCATCCTAAAATACAGCACCATATTGTAACACTAAAGCAGTCACTGACTCGCAACAACTTGCAATCATAAGTGACAGAGTTAATTTCGGGTAAAATCAATGAAAATGGGGTATGCCGATAGCATAAAAATGAGATGTGATAGAGAAAATCTGAGATCAGATTTGGAATCAGCACCCTGAAATTAGTCTAAAACAGCTGCAAAAGTCCAGGCCAGAATTTTTTTTGTTGTTGACCAGTGTTATCAGTTACGCTTCTGGCTCGGCTCGGCGAAATAGCCAGTGGAAGAAACCAGCCCGTTAGCGCGAGAGGGCGCAGCGTGGGCCCGGCACGGAATTGCCAGTAAAAAAAACAATTAAACACAAGTTTCATTTATTAGGTATCGCCCAGTGAGCCATGCGGCTCTTCGAGTCGGGTGCAACCGCAACAAACAAAATATGAACAACACGGGAGAAATATGGCGGGCGGGCGCGGAAGGAGGAGGGGATAGAACACCACCTTCATCGTCCAGGTTGGGAAGACTGGAGGCCCCACGAAAGTATTTGTCTTCCTTCTCGTCCAGCGGCTGGCTGGCGGTGATGGAGGTCGCCGTGGTCACAGTTGTCTGCCGCCGCGGAGGGCCGGTGCCGCCACGCCCCTTCTTGGACGGCGACGACTTCAGCGCTGGCGACGGCACGGGAGGAGGGTGGGGGGGGGCGGCGGATGCCAAGTTAACAAGTTAACAGCGGGGCAGTGCAAGCCCCTGAAACCGCCACCGCTGGCAGAAAGGGGGCTTTTTCTGCGATCGGGAGCTTGTTCATAACGGGGCTTTAGGGGGCATGGAATTGCAGTACAACAATGGGCTTTGCTGTACTTCCCTCTGCTGCCCACCAGGCGGCAACCCGTTTGTGCAGAATGCTCGCCCCCCCCCTTCTAAACGCTACCCAGGCTCAAACCTGCTTAGCTTCCGACAACCGACGAGATCGGGACCATTCCTTTAACCGCAGGCCCAGAGAGCACACTGGCGGACGAACTTGGAACGTATTTTTATATCGAGGAAAGACGGCTTCCCTCCCCGCCTCCCCCCCCCCCGGGGCAACAATCGTTTCCGGTCGTGCGTCAAACCGCTTTCCATTCGTTCCTCTTTCCGTGAACCGCTAAAAGATAGCGGCGGCGGGCACAGACTGCGCCGCGCCAGCACGCTTCCGTACGTAAAACGGATTGAAGCTGCTGCAGCGTCCGGTGAAAATGTAAGCCGGGCACTAATCACAGACACAAATGGGTTGCCCGTCGGGAATTTTTGCAAAGCTCAGAAAGTTCACTGGGGCTTTTCGATTTAAAGCTTTCGTGACTGCAAGGATTCATCTTCTTGGTTCTTTCGGTAAAGTCACGTAGAAGGGAAATAATATAAAAATAAAACATAATAAAATATAATTCTCACGACGTTTCGGCCACAACGCAAGCAGCCGTCCTCAGGTGAAGAACAGGTCTGTCAGACGCTGTCTTTCCGACAGACCTGTTCTTCACCTGAGCACGGCTGCTTGTCAGACGCTGTCTTTCCGACAGACCTGTTCTTCACCTGAGGACGGCTGCTTGCATTCTGGCCGAAACGTCGTTAGAATTGTATTTTATTATGTTTTATTTTTATTATTTTATTATTTTCCTTCTACGTGACTTTACCGAAAGAACCAAGAAGATGATTCACTGGGGCTCTTCGGCATTTGCACACCATCGGCGACGAGCCGACCGCATTCTCCGGATTATGAAAGACGCCGGGAAAGTTAAGAAGCACACCCCACAAAAACTTTAGGGTAATTTTAGAAAATACGCTCCAGAGAAAGCGGGAGACAAGGGTGTAAAATGTAAAGTTAACGAAATGTATAGAGTGGGTGCCGTGGATAAAAAAAAAAATTATAATCTGCAGAATGCGGTACAGCATACCCCTCGTCATTCGCGGTCCGCGATTTTGGCTATCCGCGAATCGCGTCTGGAACTCTACACGAGTGCGTCGACAGCGAGAGAAAGTGACAGGATAACACGATGAGAGACAGAATGTGACGTGAGAAAGTGACGAGGTTAAGTGACGAGGTAACGTTACGTGATAAAGTATGTATATAGAACTTATTTCGCACCGTATTTAGCGAAGCGTGCTATTGTGGTGAGATAAAGTGATGAGATACTTGAACATTTACGTATAATCATTAATATTTATTTGCATTTACCAATTTTCAGATTTTTGCGTTATGATCATTTCCACGTATTTAATAGCTTATTAACGCATTTAATTGAGGCAATTCATTTTAGAGACAGGTTTTCGTAGGGGCAATATCATCATCCGGGAAATTTGCTATTCACGCGCCATCTGAGGAACGTATTCCTCGCGAATAACGGGGGAAGGCTGTGATGATGATGATGATGACTGCGCGCAGATTATTCTGGGGTCTTCTGTGCTCTGGGGTGGGTGGTCATGTAATCGGTGTGGCATGAATAATCCAGATTATGAGATGCCCCAAGCTCACTTTTGATAAAAAAAAATAAAGAGGCGAGGGGCGGATGGAAGTGTAAAATCTTTCTAAAACATACGGTGCTGTAATTTATTTAAGATGTGCTTCGTCACGTTTATAAACACAACCATGTGCGGATTAAATGTGTGTGCAAGGCAATATTACTTACATGGAGTTTTCCTAAAGACTTGATTGCACATAAACTTCAAAAACCGTTCGGCGTAAAAACTTGGTCTGTGCACCGAAACGGTGTCCTAAACGCAGACACATAAAAAAGTCGTACACACGCACACGCGCGCGTACATACGTACATTAAACACACATTCAATACACGCAAGACAGCCATAAGCACACAGAAGTGCACATACACACACACACATATAATACACAGATCAAAAACATTACAAGTGTATGCATACACAATGTTAAGCATGATAACAAATTACATTATGATGTAATGCACTACTAAACACACAGATGTGTACACACGCAATATAACACCCATAACACACCATTCTCAACTCGCACAGATGTACACACACACACCTACATTTCACACCCATTCAGGTAAACCAAACCTTTATAAACAGTTTGCTTGCGTTGTGACCGAAACGTCGTGAGAATTATTTTATTATGTTTTATTTTTATTATTTTATTATTTCCCTTCTACGTGACTTTACCGAAAGAACCAAGAAGACAGCCTCTCCTGTTGGAGGAGTTCACCGATGGGAATGGATCCAGATCTATTAAGGATCAGTGAGCTCCTCAAACATTCCACTTTAATTTAACCCAGAGTGGATTTATAGGCAGGCCAGCATGAATGTTTCATTACACGCACGCACATATACATTACCAGATGTGTATACACTACAAGGACAAACCGTATGCATGTAACATACCCCCATGCACAACTCAATCCTAAACACACACAAATGTGTGCACAAACAAGCATACATTTCACACCCAGATACGAAGACAAAGAATCCCCATATAGTCTTTAAAGACTGCTGGGTAAAGTACTGGTAGCGAGCACCTATGAAGGCCGGCACGGTACACGAGGGGGTGGGTGGCCAGCACCACGCCCGACCGCCTTTGTCCCCCTAGTGGCGATGTTTAACACACCGCACGAGGTACTAATTTGAGGCCGAGTCGACCTAGGGGAGGCCCAGGACCGGTTCAGATAATCGTCACTGGTGTTGGCCGTGAGCGGGAATCGAACTCGAGTCGCTGGGTTCGTAGCGCAGCGCGCTAACCGCTACACTACCGCTCCCCACACACCCAGATGTGTTCATGCGCGCACGCACAGACGCACGAGAGACAGATATTTTGCGATGCCACCTTCCATGGCCAGGACTCGACGTTAAATCACCGTGAGCGCTCAACGTAACTTTTGTTTTTCATCTCGTGAGAAGACGCCGATGAAACACATCGGTATATCTGCAGATAATTTTTTTAATGGGGAAAAAAAAAAGTCAAGCCTACTCCAGAGGTGGAATCCAAGGGTTAAAAGTTAAGCTTTTCTAAACAGGGCCCTACATTAATAATAAAGGACGGGGAATGCAATCTCGCTGGTAAATATTGAGAAAATACCAATTGTCAGGGTCTTGTGAGGGGTTGGGTCAGGGGGGGGGGGGATGATAGGCCCCCCCTCTTCCTTCCATCCACCAATGATTGACTCAATCCATTTTGGTTTAATACCTAGGCATTTGCGACCAATATTATGGGTTAGATCACGTGAATATCAGTGTAATCCGCGCCACTGCCAGACGCAGCCAATTAATAAGGTTTGTCACGTTAACAAAATGTGCCAGTCCGTTACCCAGTTGAGCACATCGATGTGTTGGAGAGTAAAATTGTATAAATGTTGTGGGTTTACTCTCCAGCACACCGGTTTGGGCTGAACTCGAAACGAATTTTGATTTGAAGCTTTCATGACTGCAGCAATTCCATACTCTTTGGTTCTTTCGGTAAAGTCACGTAGGTAGAAAAAATTAAATAGATTACGACTGTTTCGATCGCAACGCAAGCAATCGTCATCGGGTGGGACAATTTTTTTCTTGCTGTGGTTGTCACACCTGCTGACGATTTGCTTGCGTTGCGATCGAAACGTCGTGATCCTTTATTTTTTCTACCTAAGTGACTTTACCGAAAGAACTAAAGAGTATAGTAACGAATTGGCCACGTTTTGTGTACGTGGTGACAAACCTCACTAACTGGCTGTGTCTGGCGGTGACGGCTTTGACGACACATTTATAATTACGCGATCCAACCCACCAAAAACAAACCTCTATTGTGGAACATTTTATTGTATTTTTATTCTATTTTGCTCAGTCGGTGTTAGCTGCCGACGGCGTGACGGGGTTTATTTTAAATTCCTGTTTGCTCCACCCCCCCACCCTCCACTCTCCGTACTGCTCCCGTTCCATTCCCACGCGCACCGGATGCCTTCCTTCATTGAGGGCGACGTTGGCGCACGGAATAAAGATCGACCGATTGACTCACCCCATCGTGCACCAATGCTTTCCATGAATGTTCCAGCTTCTTGATCAACCTGACGGGGGAGGGAGGGGCAGACAACGTTTGGTCTCGCAAACTCCATAAAATGCAAGCAGTTTAACCGTAAGCGGAGAAACCGCAAGATTTAGTAACTTAACCCTTTACAATTCTGATGACGTATTTATACGTCATCAGTCTTACTTCCCATTCCGTTCCGATGATGTACGTGTACGTACGCGTTCGTCACCAGAACGAAATTGGAAGAAACAACGAAATAACTTGATCGGTTCACCGAGGCTCCGACAAGGACATGCGGGAGGGCGTGTGGCAATTTGACGCCAGCTGTCAGAGTGTGGTCGTGTCGCCCTGTGATAACGAAAGCCCTTTGTGTAAAGAAAAAAAAGTTTGCTTTTCATGTAGAGGAACCGATCGGTGAAGAAGGCTTTATTAGGGTTGTTGACGTACATTCTACACAACAATGCTCATTACTATTATTCAGTGTTATGATAAAAACGCGTGGTTGATTTGAACGCTGTTCGAAATCTGGTTGTTTTTCTCATTGGCGTGTTCTCACGAACCTGTAAGACTGAAGGATGTCGATGATGCCCAAGTAAAGGACAAGTCGTTCCCCTTTGCTGTTCTTGGCTGGAACTCCTCCCATGCTGCAGAAGACAAAACAAAGACCCCCCGTGTAGCCTTAACAGACTGTTGGGGCAAGTGCTGTTAGCGAGTAGCACCTGTGTAGGCCGGCACGGCACACGAGGGAGTGGGGGGGGTGGCCAGCACCACGCCCGACCGCCTTTGTCTCCCTGAGTGGCGATGTTTACTACACACCGCACCAGTTAATCATTTGAGGCAGAGTCGACCTAGGGGGGTGGGGGCCAGGACCGGTTAAGACAATCGTCACTGGTGCTGGCCGTTAGCGGGAACCGAACCTCGGGTCACCAGGTTCGTAGCGCAATGCAGCGCGCTAACCGATGCCACTCTGCAGAAAAGCACGTCCGCACGCACGGCGCACAACACGGGCCAAGCGCAATAGAAATCATTACCAGCTGCCACAAACAAAGAGGCTCCGATTTATGTGCCGGCGAATGTTCCTCGCCGTCCAATTTACGGGCAAAGCAAAACCAATGTCTCCCATCACTCACGATGGGGCAAATTGCCAGGAGGGGGGGGGGGGGGATGTGGTTTGTGCAAGGTTTTTTTTAAAATATACACACATATATAACGGTTAGTGAGCACAGGCCTAAAGGATCAGAAAGCAAGTGGACAGCAACAAGCAGTACTATGAACATTACTCACCAGCCCTCTTGTTTGGTGAGTGAGATACCACTCACCATTCCTCTGTTGGGCGAGTGACATACCACTCACCAGCCCAGTGTGCTGTGCGCGACACCACTTGGCAGCCCTGCGCGGCGCGCGCGGTGTGCGCGCGTGCGTCCACCGACTCACCAGTCCTCCGTTTGGTGCGTGGTGGCTCCCGTGCGCGACTCGGCCTGGATGGATTCCATGGCGGTGGAGTAGAGGGCCTTCTGCCCCGGGGGCCTGCGCGGGTCCAAGGCCCCCAAGCCGAATCCCGGCATCACCAGCCCCTCGGCGTCGCGCTCCCTCTGCGCCTGGTCGAGGTTGTGGACACCGATCAGGAGGCTGTAGTCCATGATCTTGAAGCTCTCCAGGACCTGCAACGGACACCGGACTTTAATGAGGTCACCGTCGGCGCTCACGGTCGATCCACTGCTGGATGGAGGCCTTCCCCGAAGTGGCCGCCACCGCCGCCGCCACCTCTCGCGATCCTGCGGCGTTATAATCCACCGAGCACCTGCACGTGACGTGGTGTCAGGCGCGTTTGCATTCCTCGGCTAATGCGGTCGGCATTGTTTTTTTTCGGTCAAAGTCTTGGTTTTGTCGTCGACAAGCTACGTCACTTTAGTGGTCGTCCAAGTCTGTGGATTCCATTAAGTAGATTTTTAGTCTCGTCAAATAAAGCAGTCGGCAGGTAAAAACTACAACTCTTATTCTGCATCTTCATTCAGACTCATTAACTTTGCCACGTGAGTAAGTTGAGCTTTTTGGTCTTGGGTGGCGAGCAGTCACTGCTGTCCTACTATAGGAGGCAAAGTTTTACTGGCTGCATTATCAACGCACACGCCCAAACGCACGTGCTCGTTGGTGACGTAACCGCACACGTCTGCTTCATGACGTCTACCGCATTCCACAGCGTTGAGCTGGGTTCCTGAGTCGAGCTGACAATGTCACGCACCAAGTATCGAGCACTTTCCTTTCCGTGGGTTTCGCTGTTATCCCTCTTTTCCATTTCCGAGACGTCTTCAAGCTGCAGGGTGGGTCCCGTTCACCGATGAATATCGGAACGTGCAAGCGGTTGAGCGTTAATTTTAATTACCGAGGCATAGCGCCGTTGCTATTTTTAAAAGACATTGTGTACTCACCGCAAAGAACTGTAGCGACACGACCGCACTCTATGACAGCTGGCGGTAAAACTGTGCCACACGCCCTCCTGCATGGCCTTGTGGGAGCCTTGGTATTGATGAAGTTATTTTATTTGAGATTTTCTTCCGATTCCGTTGCGATGACGTACACGTACGTCATTGGAATGGGAAACGGGTTATACGGTCATGCTACATTTAGACAAAAGTTTAGCGGGCTGGCGGGCACTGGGGGAAGAGTGTGCACGCACATGGTTAGGATAGTACTCTGGATGAGAAACTGCGTGGGAACACTGTCTGGGGAAAGTTAAGTTATCCCGACCCCTTTCGGTCGTGGGGGGGTTTGTTTGACCATACTTCACAACACGCTGGTCAGTGCCGGTTTGGTGGAAGCCGATGGGGACGTCCTGTCCAGCATCGGCTCTGATAGTTTGATTGTCTCCTCCCGTCCAGCCGCACACGCAAGTAGAGAGGTCCATAATTTCTCCTCCCCACCCCACCCCATTGTAATCTAATTACTGGAGAGTATGAACCCAATGGCCTGGTAAAAAATGTACCCCATTATTTGAATAATTGGGTAGCCCGGGAAAAAAAACCCAACATCATTAAGCTTTCCTCCACGTGTAACGCTACCTCTGCCTTCGCAAAGAAGCATTGCGAATCTAAGACAACATTAGCGCTGTTACACAAACTCAAAAAATGCGTAGTTCTTTTCACCTCCCAAGGATATAAGCTCTTTTTTTCACAAGGGCACATGCATCATTACATCACAGAGGTCGCAACCGGGTACCCGATACCCGTACCCTACCCGATACCGGGTACCCGTTTGCGACCCTGGTGCGGCCGGGTACAGGTAGACCGTGAGTCACTGGTGAGTAACTGTTTCTCACTCATTTCCCAACGTCTTGTCTCTTCTCACAATTCAATTTCCGAGAATCAACCCACCCGCGCCTGCAACATGGCTTCATCCTAGAGGTCGCAATCAGGTACCCGATACCCGTACCCTACCCGTACTCGGCCGGGTACGGGTAGAATACGGGTACCCGTTTGCGACCCTGGTGCGGCCGGGTACGGGTAAGAATCAAAACCCGTTTGCGACCTCTGTTACATCATCACTTGCACAAATCTGGCACTCAACAGCACTGGGTATGTGTGTGTGGGAGCACCCCGTGCTAATAGCCGCACGTGTAATCCCTCTACGGAATAACAAAACAACCAAACATTGATAATCTGCTTTTTTGCAAGCAGCGTGTACTCGTTGCAAACCTAACCACTTGTTCATAATGGGCTTACAGAGCATGTGGCCATGTGGGTGGGTGGGTGGGTGGGTGGGGCTGTTTTTGTGTTACCCCCATCCCCCTTCACTGGCCAAAGCTGGATAGCAGCCAACATGTAAGTGTGCGGTCAAGGTAAGAGAAGGTAAAGGAGCAACCCTGAAATTCCTTGCACCGCCGATTAGCACGGTTGGCTACGTACGGTGCAAAAGAAGTTCAATGTGCATACGTACCAGCCGCTGCTGGCGGAGGGACCTGCAACTAGAGGAAGTTCAAGATAGAGGAGGGAATGTTGGACGACTCCTTCACACTGCGCAATCATCTTGGAAGAGGTGGGAAAGACCCACACGTTATTTCATCACAACATCAGTTTCCCTTCACGAGGTATTTGTATTTTCAAATGCACACGTGATGATCTTGTGCTGCCCTACGCCTCCGAGAGCCCGCATGAGCACTTGCCTACAAGGCAACTATCAATAATAAGGCCACACACGTTGAGATATTGCGAGCTGATGGCTTTGCCAAGGCCCGAGAGCATTGCACGTGCAATGTAGTGGTCACATGGCATGCAAGGCGTGATGGGGAGATGTGACGTCCTCCTCTGCTCATGGAGCGGCAGGGTGACCTTTGCGTGGTGTTAAATCTCTTTTGTTTCCGGCCTGCCACAACGCAATCTCCTGTTGTGTCGGGGTGTGCTCATCGCTCACAGAAGCGGAATCAGAATATATATTTGTACCGGAGGAATACGATGAGCTGTAAAGCTCTTTTTCAAAGATGTTCAGCCGGGGCGGGTAATAATGTTACAACAAACAGTACAAACACATCATACAAAGGTAAACAAAATCACCCAAATACATACAATTCAAACATCCCTATCCTACCCGGCAAAGCCCACTGAGGTATGAACTTATTTTTCAGGTGACCTCGCCACAAATGAAACAAAAGTGACCCATCATTCGGACATTTAAAGCTTTCACAGCTCACAGAAAGCGTTGGAATAGCGCCTTACCAAACAGTCGCGCTGTAAGGTCTTCGACATGGCGCTGTATGTGTCCGAGTCAAGGAGCAGTCCATCGGGATGGTCCTGAATGAAATCGAGGTCCTTGAATGTGGGGTTCGATTTCTCGCGCTCCTTTCGCGACGCACGGCGCTTGTACGTGGAGCCCTTCAGGTCGAACTTGATGTGCATCTTCATTGCGCGTGGCAACAGGTTGTTCATCACCACCAGCCTGATGTTCTTGCCTCCCGACTGAACACAGTACAGGCCGTAAAACTTGGGCAGTAGTGTCCTCACGTTCTGGTTCAAATTCTGCGGTGGGGGTGGAGAAAACAAAGCAGTCGTTTTTTGTTTATTTTTACAAAAAAATCAAGCAGCCCATCCCAAGCGTGATCCGGCCTGAACTCTGCGTTGCTTCTGAAACTTCACGAGATCGAATTAATTCCACGGTGATTTGGTCATAGGCTTAAAGTCAAGGGCTTATTACCTGTTGAGTTGGGTATGTGCGGGGTCAGCGACCAAGAAAATATTCCCACACACAGGTGCAAGTCATCCAGTATACCTCTCGGAATGTGGCCTGTGGCTGCAAGTCACCGGCCACTCCTGGTCTGCCAGCGACTAGGAAAATATTCAGTGAGGAATAAAGCCCTGGTCGTACATCTTACCAAATCACTTGGAAAAACGTCAGATCTCGTCAGATCACGCAAACTAAGTGGGATTTGATTCAGGATAGTACTTGGACGGGTGACCGCCAGAGGTCGCAACCGGGTACCCGAAACCCGTACCCTATCCGATACCCGACTAACCGTACCCGGCCGGGTACGGGTACGGTTACCCGTTTGCGACTCTGGTGCGGCCGGGTACGGGTAGACCGTGAGTCACTGGTGAATAACTGTTTGTCACTCATTTCCCAACGTCTTGTCTCTTCTCACAATTCAAGTTCCTAGAATCAACCCACCCGCACCTGCAACATGGCTTCATTCCAGAGGTCGCAATCGGGTACCCGATACCCGTACCCGTACCCAGCCGGGTACGGGTACCCGCTTGCGACCCTGGTGCGGCCGGGTACGGGTAAGGAATCAAAACCAGTTTGCGACCTCTGGTGACCGCTTTGCACAACAGGCGTTATAGGCTGCGACTATGGGGCAGCATTGGGAAGTCCAGTAAAATAATTTGTTGTACTGGACTTCTACGCTACCACATCTATGCACAAAACCACCGAAAAATAAATGTTTCAATTGTTCACAACCCCAGCTTCAAAATATCCAAAAGCAGGACCACCCTTGAACACGATTTTCGGGGGAACATTGCCACGGTTTTGTTTCTCGCAAATATCAATCACAAAATCCAATCCTACGACCTCGCGACATCCTACCGCGTCGTCAGGCAGGGGGACAGGGCCGCAAACAGCGCGGCAATTAACGAGCGCAGAGCGCCTGCAGAGAAACACTTACCATGTAGTATCCAGGAAGCAGCTTCTGCAAGAATTCCGCCTCCTTGTGCATAACCGTTTTGATGATGAACTCATCATCGCTTGTAACAAAGAACACGGAGCCGCTGGCGCCCGGGTTTGTGAGCTCGATAAGCGGCTCACTGCACAGCGAGTACTGTCCACGCGCACAAGCAGAATGACAGCAGCGCGCACAGTCAGAAGTGGCCGTGCGAGACATGGTATTCTCCAACCCTCTGATGGAATTCTGACCCTGTGGTCAGAATGACAGAATGTCAAGTAAAGTCATTTTTATCATTAGACCTCCTTTGCCAGTACCAAAATATAATAATAGGGTTTTTCCCATTTTTTATGGCAACAAAACTGAAACCTTTTTACGAGGATTCATGTCTGCATTAACCACAATACTTGCAGTCAAAATGCAAACAAAAAACACACTCTGATAATATATGCATTGTCCTTGAAACTGATTGGTCCACACCAAGGGACGGCTTTCTTTTGAGCCAAATGAAAGATTCGAAACGATGAGGAAAAACTACATATATACTTACTACCTATCTGTACAGTTGAATGTTCCCAATTAATATTATTCTTCTTGGTTCTTTCGGTAAAGTCACGTAGAAGGGAAATAATAAAATAATAAAAATAAAACATAATAAAAAACTTTTATTATATTATTATTACATTAGTATATTATTTTATTGTGCTTTATTTTATTATTTTATTATTTCCCTTCTACGTGACTTTACCGAAAGAACCAAGAAGATGAATCCCTGCAGTCACGAAGAAGCTTTAAATCGAAATGAATATTATTGTCAAAAAGAAACGTGATCGCAACTTACTAAATAATCATCGGGTCTGATCCCGAACAGTTCACGGAAGTATCTGAAAGCCACCGGCGCGTAGGTCTTGAATCTGAAGTCGGAGTAGTGGTGAGCGGGCGTCAAATTACTTCCTTCGCTGTGAACACACGGACGCAGGGGAATCGATCAACAAAAACACGGTGGCACGAGCAAGTCCCCGATCGCACAGGAGCGAGATAAAGAAAAACACACCACCGTAAACACACGCACTGTACGTATTTTGACTTCTTTCGCACCATACACAGTCAACCGTGCTAATTTGGCAGTGTGGGGGAAGGACTAACACATAAAGAAGCAGTTCTCAAGTGAGTTTTCAATCTCGATGATGTGAAAGTCCAAAGCTCCCAGAGGCCTCAAAAGAACTGGAGGAAGAGCGTTCCAGACGGTCACAGTAGCGCATCTTAAAGCGCGCAATGCAGTGACCATCTTTGTTCGATGACTACATTGACGTTTAATGCACGGTGGGAAAATGGTTTTAGTATTATAACAAGGAATGGAAGTCCAATTTGTACAAAAAATTTCACCAATTATAAACACATCGCAATGCACACATACAACCTCATGTTACACTTAATATACATGCAATACAAAGTTATATCTTCTTGGTTCTTTCGGTAAAGTCACGTAGAAGGGAAGTAATAAAATAATAAAAATAAAACATAATAAAATAATTCTCACGACGTTTCGGCTACAGCGCAAGCAGCCGTCTTCAGGCTGAAGACTGCTGCTTGCGTTGTAGGCCGAAACGTCGTGAGAATTATTTTATTATGTTTTATTTTTATTATTTTATTACTTCCCTTCTACGTGACTTTACCGAAAGAACCAAGAAGATGAATCCCTGCAGTCACGAAAGCTTTAAATCGAAATACAAAGTTATAATTGAGCATATGAAATGTAAGTGAATGCACCGTGCAGATACGTATTGTACTGATGGGTGGAGGCCTCCTCACACCGTGTGGTTCCAAGGGGTAATTTAACCATACTTCACCACGTTGGTCAGCATGGGTTGGTGAATGTGGGGTGCATATATGTTCAAGCTGCACTGCCCTCTCTTGAAAACGCAGCCTTGCAACACCTATCTTATGAATAGTGGTCACCCATCAGGCACATTCCGAGAAATTTGGCCACAGGACTATTGTCAGGGCTTCATTTCGGCTGGGAATCAAACTTGTGTCGCCGGGGTTCATAGGGAAGCATTGCTAACCGCGATACGAGTGCTTCCAACTATGTATACGCACACAAACAGGCACACAAACAAACGACAATGATCCCCCGTATAACCTTTATATACTTGTGGGGCAAGTGTTGTTAGCGAGCACCTATGAAGGCCGGCACGGCACACGAGGGAGGGGGTGGGTGACCAGCACCACACTCGGCCGGCTTTGTCTCCCTAGTGGCGATGCTTCACGCGCACACACACGCACGCACGCACGTACGTTCTCCACCACGTGGTTGATGGCCTATTGAAACTTACCTTGGGAAAAATATGCTCTCCACTACGTAAAAGTCTTGCATGAGGACGTCTCGCTCGGGCTTGGAGCTCAGGTTGCCCACCGTGTAGCCAATGCCCAGCTCGATTGCTCCTCGCAGGGCTGACGATGTGGTCTGCCACAACAAAAATCAACAGCCGCTCGGTCATCATTGCAACCAGCAGCAGCAGCAGTAGCAGCAGAGCTGACGATAAACCACACAACGGCATGCGGCATAATTAGTACTCAAGCTGTAGAAGGGATTCCCACCCCCATCGCTGCATCGCGTGCTTTCAGATGCGCTTCTGCGGCCATCTGGAATGCTCTTCAATCCGATATTAGGAAGCCACTGTGAGCGATTCACTTTTAAATCACCTAGATTGAAAACGAATTTCTCTAGAACTGCTTTTTGTGTTTGGTTTATCCTTCCCCTGCACCTCCGATAAACACGGTTGGCTACGTACGTACATACATAGATGGTGGCAGCTTAAAGAGGCCTTCATCCAGCAGCGGAGAGAGCGTGGCTGATGATGAACAATTAAAATAGGATTGGTGGCACAGCGGTAATCGCACTGTGTTATGAACCTGATTTGAGTTCACTTCCCTCCCATTGCTTGTACTACAGAGTTAGAATGATGGCCTTAATCTAAGTTGTCTTGTGGTTGTTGTTGTTGTTTGACTTGCATCCCACTGGGATTTTTGCACACAGCGTTGGTGTACAGTGCTTTTTTTTCTGGAAGACGCTGCAGTTTTTTCTGGGATTTTTCTGTTTGCGCATAGTCACTTTAAGATCTTCTTGGTTCTTTCGGTAAAGTCACGTAGAAGGGAAATAATAAATAATTAAAATAAACCATAATAAAATTATATCATAATAAAATATTTTATTATATTATTTTATTAGATTATTATATTATTATATTATTTTTTTATGTTTTATTTCTATTATTTTATTATTTCCCTTATACGTGACTTTACCGAAAGAACCAAGAAGATGAATCCCTGCAATCACGAAAGCTTTAAATAGAAATTCACTTGAAGATGTTTTCTTGTTCATGTTTATGTTTTTAGTTTGTTGCGGTTGCACCCGATTCAAGAGCCGAATGGCTCACAGGGCTATACCAAATAAATGAAACAGACACCTGAAATTGCTAACAGCACAAGTGTGTGGATATCCAAACCAGTCCACGAGTCCCTTTCACCAACCCAACACCGACAGGCACGGTGAAATAAGATCACAAAACATCTACTGCCAATAACAGTGCGTATAGACCTGCATCCAGAAGTGGAAGGGCTGAAAATCAATGACCGAGTAAATCTAGGGAAGGCCCAGAAGAGGCTTGGATCCCACTTGCCATGAATGCTATCAGAGACTGTTGAGGCGAGCGTCGTTAGCGAGCACCTATTAAGGCTCAAATTGCACAGCAGGACATCCAGCCAACTTTGCCTCCCCACTGCTGATGTTAACATATCACACCAAGTACTCATTATTTTAAGGCCAAGTCCATCTAAGGGAGGTCTAGGACAGGTTTAGATACCACTTTCTACCAGTTTTTTCAACAAACACATATGCTATAATATAGACAAAGATCTCTGTATAGCCTTAATCAACTGTTGGGGCAAGTTCTCTTAGCGAGCAACTATGAAAGCTGGCACGGTACACAAGTGGGTTGGATAGCCAGCACCATACCGGACTGCCTTCGTCTCCACAGTGGCGATGTTTACACACCGCACCAGGTACTCATTTGTGGCCAAATCGACTTAGGGGCAAGAGGCCTAGGACCGGTTCAGATAATCATCACTGGTGCTGGTAGCCGCAAGCAGTAATCGAACTCTCGCCGCCGGGTTCGTAGCGTAGCGCAGCAGCGCTAACTACTGCACTACCGCTTCCCCACGTTGTAATTAATAAACCCACACATACAGCTCAATCACAAACGGCTTTGTTATTTTTAAGTCAACGACAATTTCGTGCTTTTTTTCTTACCTTTTTGTAAGTGGTTTCTCCAGAAGCGTCCACCCCTCTGTGACCGATCTTCTTGGCACCAGGTCCTGTGGCTGTAGTATTCTGGAAACACAGCACACAACGGGATTGATGATCCACCACCCACCGATTTCACCGCAATCGCTCACCGGCGGTCAGTCGAAACTAAACTATTTTTATTTTACCAGGTAAGGCCCACCGAGCTACACAGCCCTTTTTACACGCTTTTATTTAACTCACTGTGTCTGTTGTTGTTGTATCCTCACATCTTGTAACTCGATTTTAACCCACTTCCCAATGTGGTATCGACTGCAAACTTGGTATACTTATGTCATACTGATGACAATAACTTTCGGTAAAGTCACGTAGAAGGGAAATAATACAATTATAAAAATAAAAAATAATAAAATAATTCTCACGACGTTTCGGCCACAACGCAAGCAGCCGTCCTCAGGTGGAGAACAGGTCTGTCGAGAAGACAGTGAGTGCAAAGCCCTCATCACAGACGTGGGAAATCAGTCTCATTGCATCACGTATCTCCTAAAACTTAAGTCGGTTGTCAACTGAACAACGTTCCTGAGATCTCCTAGAAAGAATGAAGCGATGCTGAAATGTGGTGACATCACTGGGTATTGGTCGCATTAACCTCTCAATGTTGACCGTCAGATTGGAGAGTTCACTAAACGTCAGAGCCCTTTAGGCTTGCGACTTGCGTTCAGCCCCTTCGCACGCGAGACAGCGAGGAGCGCTCGAGACGTGGTTGTGCTGTGTGCCCCGTCATTCAATTTTACACTGCAGTAGTAAAACATCGTAATTTTATAACCGGTGCATCACAAAGTTCACGCAAAGGGCAAAAACAACCCCATTTTATCCCGACAGCTCCCACGCATTCGCTTAGTGTGAGAACACGGAACCCCTCGGATGTCAAGTAGCATTTTGGGTTGGTTTTGTGGAACAAGTTTCATTCCCTGAAGATGAAGAATCAAGCAAAAGGATGAATTCTGTAACGCTCTCCAATGTGTCTGTCGCCAACTTTCAGGCAAATCTTTCATCAACAAATTGGACGGTTTTAGCGAGACAAAGTCTCGAATAGCAAAGCAACTTCATGCTGAACATTATGTTTGTGTTGGGCCATCTTTGCTCGTTATCCCAACTCTTCTTTACAGATACAGATGGACGGACGGCCGATTATAGTGCACAAGTGCGTCTAACCTTAGCTGGAAAGCGGTTCAAGAAGAGATGAATCACACAGAGCAGGTGTCTTACCTCTGTGCTGGATTTCTTCTCATTGAACCCACCTGAAAAGAGAAAAGAACCAAAACACCGTGAGAAACACGCGCTTGAATGTACAGTGAACACCGACAATGGCTAAGGGAAAAGCAGAGGCCAACTGGAAAAAAAAATAGGGTGGCCTGCTTCTCATGCAAGAGTACATTGGTATGAACATAAGACAAGTTAGAATTTGGCAATGTTGGATCATGACGCTGAAGCACAAAGGCCTACGGTCTTGAGGCTTCACACTTGGGCGTGATGACAGTGCCTTTGCAATTGTGGCACCTACACCTCTGGAACCCCACGTCCCTTCGAGGTCAGGGGGGACATGCAGAGCCACTTACAAATCTTCAAATCTCCACTAAAAACGCATCTGTCTAAAATGTCTCCCGTCTAATTATTTCCAAACGTCTTTCTCGCTTCTTCTTTACTGGGGTGATGTTCAACTATTTTCTGCCTTTCCACGCATAGAGCCCCGAGAACGATTGTTTAACGGCGCTTAGAATTAAAATTAGATTATTATTACTTTTGTTTTGCACGACATCGGAGTGAGGGGGGGGTGGAGGTAATCTTTATTGTTCCACTTTTAAAGCAGACCGAGCGTAATTATAGTTAATGCCCCCAGAGTATTAAACCAGGGGCAATTGGATTCAATCCGCCAACGTGTGCAAACAAGTTGAGCATCCTATCCGCTGGGCATGTCACCAGCCATAATATCAGAGAGAATATAAAAAAAAAATGGCTCATCGCCACTCGCAGCAATTAAAACGTGTATTCATTTTATTATCAGAGAGCAGGGGTGACAAGGCGTAAACACGGGGACACCACCGCTCGCTAAGGTGTGCCTGTGCTTTTTGGCATTCAGTTCGTTGGCTGCTCTTTGCATCCAGTTTGTCGTCCTTAGCCCGCACCTCCGAATGATTAGCGCGGTTGGCTACGTACGGCGCGAAAGAAGTTCAACGTACACGGATATACGGCTCCCGGACGACCCACCTCCCTGCCTCAAACGGGCCATCACTTTTGAGGCGGATGCATCAAGCCGAGGAAGAAGTGCCGCTTCATTTATTTATTAACGAGAGATTATATAATAAGGGCAGGCCAATCTGCAGGATGCAATTTTTAAATGGCAACAAATTAAATTGTCCGCGACAGCGTACAAAAAACATCCGCGGCGCTGTCACCACATGCGGCGTGTGCAGGAGTGTGCCAGTTACGCACACAGTTGGACGCTAATCACAATGAGTCCGTGCAGAGTGAGGCTGGCTAATCCCAAAACGTTCGCAGATCCAGAAGAGGTCGGGTCCAAATCTATTACGATTGGGGCTTATCTCTACTGTATTAATACCCGTGACCAAAAATCACTCGGGACGGCGCTCAATATCGTTACATTTCGGACGCTAACCCAGAGCCGAGCGTGGAACAGTGCTTGCTTGGGTGGGCAAGCACCAGAGGTCGCAACCGGGTACCCGATACCCGTACCCTACCCGATACCCGGCTACCCGTACCCGGCCGGGTACGGGTAGCCGTTTGCGACCCTGGTGCGGCCGGGTACGGGTAGGCCGTGAGTCACTGGTGAGTAGCCGTTTGACACTCATTTCGGGTAGGGTACGGGTAGGGAACGGCTACCCGTACCCGGCCGGGTACGGGTACGGGTACCCATTTGCGGCCCTGGTGCGGCCGGGTACGGGTAAGGAATCAAAACCCGTTTGCGACCTCTGGCGAGCACCGTGCCGGGCAGACGTCAGATGCTGTTGCGGGGGCGACGCGGAGGGCAGCAGAGGGGCAGCGCAACAAAATACGTCACGGCACTTGATTATCGCGCGCCTCCGATTCGCACGGTTGGCCACGTACGGTGCGAAAGAAGTTCACACGTACAAAGACGCGCACACTTGCACGCTCTCCCAAGTCCACGATCTCCGCCTTCACCGATGCCCGCTGGCCGGGATGGTGAAGTATGGTCACGTGACCCAGAATGGCATGCCGAGGCCTCATCCAGCGATGGATTGACGGATTGGCCCGTTACATGCACGCACGGTGTTCAACCACCACGCTTGCAGGTCAACTCACTTCTCTTTATGCTTATTTCCTCACACTGCTCCACTTTGCCATCGCCTTCCCCCCCCCCCCCCCCAAGCTCTTACTACAATAATAACCATGTTGAAGAAAACAAATGCCGTTAACTCTTATTTATCACAATTTTTGAGTGTACTATTTTGTCGGTGGCCGCTTGAGGTTCTGGACCAGAGGTCGCAACCGGGTACCCGATACCCGTACCCTACCCGATACCCGGCTACCCGTACCCAGCCGGGTACGGGTACCCGTTTGCGACCCTGGTGCGGCCGGGTACGGGTAGGCCGTGAGTCACTGGTGAGTAACCGTTTGTCAATCATTTCCCAACGTCTCTTCTCACAATTCAAGTTCCTAGAAACAACCCACCTACGCCTGCAACATGGTTTCATCCCAGAGGTCGCAATCGGGTACCCGTTTGCGACCGGGTACGGGTAAGGAATCAAAACCCGTTTGCGACCTCTGTTCTGGACCTTTTGAGCCTGTGCTCAGCACCTGTGTTTAAAAAAAACAAATGTACACATACTACAACAACAACAACACCAACGACGACGACGAGAGATACTTTCACTTTGTCAAAGCATTATTGCCAAGCCGTTGTGTTGTTTAAGCATGCCACAGCAACAACTCTGCACACAGCTTCCTCTCAATGCAGTCCTCAAGAGATTCTGACCAATGAATGGCTTTCCCCTCTTTCTAACCCAACCACATACAACTATCAACGACACAACAGACTCGTCTGCCTCAATTAACCTCCCTTAACACACCCTCCCCCCGCTCCCACTGAGTCCAGCAGGGACACTGCGGAAATGTGGCGTGACCGTATTAACGAGAGCGTGCTGTCATGCTTAGCAGGAAGAGAAGACATGGTCCGAGATGACCTTTACAGTCAATTGCTGTGGACAGTCGTGATTTTGAGAGTGCAGGGTGGCGCAGTGGCTACCACTTGCGCCGTCGCATCAAGAAGCGTCTGGGTTCAAGTCACAAATCGGGCGCCTTTCTGCACGGGATTTGTATCGTCTCCTGTTCTGCATGGGTGTCCTCCCGGTTCTCTGGGTTCATCGCATAGCTTAATAAAAAAAATGGACACTGTGCCTGGTGTTGGCCAAGCATCCTAAAGCTGAAAAAATTAACCCGTAAAAACAAAGTTTTTCACTATAAATCCTTTATATGCGTGGCGGCTAGAGTCCTCTCGTCCTCTGGCTTGAGATGGCTGCCACCTATGGGTCAGATGATTGTCTGCAGTATTAAACAATTGGTAATTAAATATTTAATTTGTTTTCCCTAAACAGTGTAAAATTTGGAAAAAATTTTCACGAACATTAATTGTCTCGCACAACGAGTCTGTGTGCAAAATATCAGCTCGATTGGATCACGGGAAGTGGGTTAAAAAACGACCGAAAGGTTTGCACGGTCATAAGCAAGCAAGCAAGCACGCAAGCAAGCAAGCGAACTTAATATAAAGGATTTAAAAATTCCATCGACGTCTTATTATGCGGACACGTACAGAAATATCACGGCAATTCTGCCCTTTTCTTCATCCAGGCAAGCGTCACCGAGTCTCAAGACTTCTTTATTGGGAGGGATCCTGCGTTGCGATGTTTGGCGTGGATGAGGCATCCAGAAGCAAGCGCACACAGGAGGCAGTAATACTCCAACGCAAATTCACCAACCCACAGCCGAATCACTGCGGTGAGGAATGGTCAAATAACCCTCACGTGCCGGGTTACTTATTTGGTGAGATGTTAGCTTCCTTGCCTGGTACGCAGGAAGTTTGGGGTTCAATCCCGGAGGTTGCATGTCCTCTCTCCCCGTGGTCACGTGGATTTTTTTCCTCCGGGTCCTCGGGTTTTTCCCCTCCAAACTTATAAACGTGCATTGAGATTATTTAGATTATTTTGGCTGCTATCACTGCCCAAATGATGGGCCACTTTGTTGAGCAATCATTTGTGGCCAGGTCGCTTCTGAAAAACAAGTTATTACCTCCGTGTGCTTTGCCTGGTAGGATGGGGATGATGGTTTAGTTTCATTTGTGTGTGTTTGGGTGATGTGTTTACTTTTCTTGTACTTTGCACTCCTGTGATGTTTATGTACTGTTTGTTGTTGTAGTAACGCTCTTACCCACGCCTACTGGACATCTGTGAAACAGAGCTTTAGAGCTCATCGTATTCCTCCAGGATATATAATATTCAGATTCTGATGTGGAGACACTCTCCATGCTCAAGATCTTCTCTTCTGGCCCGACCGATTGTCTTTTCTCGAGACTATATCCACATTCCTGTATTTATTACACTGATGCGCACATCACACCGCTTGCTGCTGTACTGCGTCTCGAGAATCATGTGTATTTGGACCCTCTATAAAACACAAACTGTGGAGATGCCTTCATCTAGCAGTGGACCGATCATCATCGTCATCATCATCATCGGCCACGATCGATCCTCTGACGGACGAAGGCTTCACACTCCCCAGTCCGCCACCATCTATCACGGTCCTGCAATGTAATCCGCGTAGCGCCTGCACACGAGTTGATATCATCGTTTCATCTGCTCCGGCGGGTCACCCCTCTCGGGACACGTTCCATTCCTGGTCTGCCACTGTCTAGGGTGTGGACCAATCAACTTCAAGGACAGTGCATATATTATCAGAGTTATGTTTTTTGTTTGTATTATGGCTGCAGGTAGTGTGGTCTATGCAAACATGACTCCTTGTAAAAAGAGGTGTCAGTTTTGTTGCCAGATAGAAGGGTAAAAATCCAATTATCATATTTTTTACTGGCAAATGAGGTTCCGATGGTGTAAATAATTATATGTTTTCATATCGCCTCTGAAAATTGATGGAGGTGTTTCACTTATTAAAACGTGCATGCCTAACAATACAAATGCATACATTTTTATGAATAAAGTCAGACGTTCATCTTCATGCAGCACATGATAGGAACCTCGCTTGCAACGATGAG